AGCATGCACAAGGCAGCCCGGCCAGCCTGCAACCTACCTGGGGAGCCCCAAAAAACTTTGTTAGCACCAGGGAGCGCTAGTACGGGAGACACCCCAGAAATCTGCGCTGCCCCCATCCCTTGGCATCTCAGGTCCCAGCCGGGAGGAGGCGACCTCGTCGTGAGGGTCCTGAGGATGAGTACCCCAGACTGACAATCGGTCTCCCGCCCGAAGCAAGTCCCTCTTTCTCCCACCCCTGCGCTCTTGTCTATAAGTGGGTCGGGGCGAGGTGCGGGGGGGGGCTCGCAGAATTGGACAGGAGGGAGGGCTCTCCCCAGCACGTCTGCCTTATTTGGCTATTTTTTATTATTATTATTATTATTTTTTTTTAAGAAGGGGAATGAAATGGTAAAAAAGGTAGGGGGAAAACCTGGAAAGCCAACAGAGTAGAAAATGAGACGCGGCTGGCAGAGACGGTAGGCAGGGAGGTGTGAGGTACCCTCTGGCCAGTCCCGCTGGCGGGCGCAGGAAGTCCCGGACGCCCCGTCGGAGGACGGTGGCGGCTGACTGGGGAGCGGTGACGTTCCCAGCAACTTTTGCAGGAGATTTTGGCGCTTCAGGAAAAAGCCATGAGGTAGAGACCTCCCAAGCTGTTTCCAGCTGGCGTCTGGAAGGAGTGGCTCAACTTTGTTCAGCTTCTTGTCCCTCATGTTCTCATGTTCGGCCACTTTCGAGGTACAGCCTGTTAGCTCCCACTAGGAGCTCCAGCAGCCGTCGAGGGAGAGAGACACGGGCCTCTCTACAGCTGCAGATCCGCTGCGAGGCGGGCAGAGCAGGCAAGCACGGAGGCGACGCACCCACACGAGGCTGGCACACATCAGGGAAAGTTCTGAAGGGCGAAGGACCTGGCAGGCTGGGTAGGAGGCGAGGAGAGCTGGGCTGAGCTGTAGGCGCAGCGAGGGTGCGTGGTCTATCTGCTCCTCGGTTGCTTCTCCCTTCAGGCTGGTTGGGGCGGTGCAGTGCAGCTGGGGGAGCTCTTGGGAGCTGCTTTAAAAAAAGAAACAAGAAAAAAGAAAACAAAAACCTTCCAGGATTTGATTAATTACAACAATTCCCTCCTCGGAAGATCTGGAAAAGAGTATCGAGAATCACCTATCCATTCCTCCGCCTTTCAGCAGCTGGCTCCTAACCCCCACCCTCGCTTCCCCCCTTCCCCCTTTTTCTCCACCTCCTTCTTCTCCCCGTCCGCTCCAGGGGCTGCGGCCAGAGCCTCGTCAGGAGGAGGGAGGATGAGGACTCACTCAAGTTGGCCCTAGTTGGCAGCACTTCGGGCAGCGCGGGACTTGGGAACGCACTCGGCAGCTCCCGCTGAACAAAGGAGCCGGTTTCCCGCAGAGATCGGGGGACAGCGCTGGGCTGGCCCGGGCCCTGCTCCTGCCCTAGCCCGGTCCCGGCCCGGTTCGCGGCTGCCTGTTCGCCTGGAGATCCTCGAGCAACCTGGCGAGGGGAAGCGGGAAGCAGCACCACTCCGCGTTTCTGTTGTCCCTGCTTCCTTCTTTTGCTCTCTCCCTCCTTTTTCTTTTTTATTTTTTTTTAATATTTTTTTTCCCTAAATCTTAAATTTTACCCCCAGGCCGCCTCTGTGTGGGGGGTCCCCTCCGCCCGAGGGGCGCCGGTGCCCGGCGCGAAGAGGGGCGCATGGGGCGGCGTTTCGGGAGGCTTTCGGCTGCTCCTTGCTCTCCCGCCGGATGCTGCCTGAGCCGTTTTGGCTGGTTTTTTTCGCCGGCGATGAAGGCTCTGTCTTGAAGATGGACATGATCTGTTTTTTATTCCTGTCTCTGGTGCCGGTATACAGCAGGGGACAAGGGGTGTACGGTAAGAGACGTTGTCGCTGTTTGCGAAAGAGGGTTGAGGGGTGGGGGGCGAGGGCGCAGACGGCGGCGGTGGGATCAAAGTTAAAAAGCACCTGCAGGAGAAAGTAAATTATGCCGCTGAACCTCGTCTCAGCCTGAGCGGAGAGACTGACGCAGGAATAGGGCTTCTAGTGCCTGTAGATACTTCAGAATTCCTCGCCGTAACCTCTGGTCGCCTCCCATGTACGAGTCCGCCGAGATGGCACGCAGGGACTGTCGGTGGGACTGCCGCCTGGCGAGCGACTGGAGCCCCGGCCCTATTTGCCGTCTCCCCACCCGCCTCGCATGGGGACGCCACGCTGATGCCGGTGGGGGCGGCTCCGGGAGCACCTTCGAGTTGCATTTTCTTTGGGGCAGGGGGCGGACGGAGGATGTCTTCTCGGTGATGCGCCTGCGGGTTTCCTTGCTCTCAAGATCACGGACACGGGGAAGCAGGGAGACAGGCAGCCGGGCTGCCCGGTCTCGTTCCCTGCGTGTCGGGGGCTGTCCGCTCCCGCCACCGCCACGGCTCCACCCGGCTCGGCGGGGTCAGCTACCTGCTGCTCCCTACGGCCAGCCTCGCCGGGCTCCCCGGGGGGCGAGGCGAGGCTGGTTTTATACCTTGTGGAACTTTGCTGCTGATTTTCTTCTTAAGGTGATGCAAATGGGTGGGTGGTGGTCTGTGGCAGAGAGGATGCCGAGCAGATTGATTTATTTTCTTCCTTTTTTACTATTATTATTTTTGCATTTACGGAGCGTACTTCCTCTCCTTGTTTGCAGGCAAGGTGGCAAATGGCGAGCTCGGGTGGTCTCCTCATGAGAGGTCTGACTTCCGCAGCCCCTCAGTGCGAGGGCAGAGATGGGGGATGACACCCGTGCCGCTGAGCACAAACCCCGGGTTGAAAGAGCACCCGGGATTTACTTTAGCCAGACATGCAGCCCCCCTTTCCCTCTCACAGCTCTCTCTGAATTCTTGCTTTACAAGATCTGCATTTCCAATACACTGGGAAAAAATAAATAAAAGCTACCCACAAGACTTGTCTCTCATAACAAGCCGGCTTTATCTTGGCTTACAACTCAGTTGTGCTTTGCTGTTAAGTCCTTCTGGAAGGCATGCCACTGCCTCTAACAAGCCGAGCTCTGAAGAGAGACCCCAGTGAGAGAATCCAGCCCCCCCGCTCCCTCTTTTTTAACAGCACGCAGCCAGTCTCTTGTGTGAGCTCTGGCAAAGATCAGTTCAGTCTCACTGACTATGGGTAAGTCTTTGTAGGTCACTTTTTAATGATGTATTTCTTTAATGGAAACAATTCCTCCTTTATCCTTGAGGACTGGGATGTTAATTTGAGTTTGGGTCTGTTTTGTAAAATAACCGTTTTATATAGAGGGTTTATAGCTTTATTTTTTTCTGTCTTATTTTCAGTATATGTGTTTTTTCCCAGTCCGCATATCCAGACAAGAATTGTATGACCCTTGAAAGGCTGGAAAGATGAGGAGTAGAACGAGCTGTGGTACAGAAATATGGGCATATAATTTAATCCTTTAAAACAGATAATCTGCTTCTAGATGAACTTCTATTATTTCACTGCAGTGTGCTTGCTGCTGAATAGCTGTCAGTTGCTGTAGAATGGACTCACTGCTTAGGATTGTAGCAAGAGGGACAGGGCTTAAAAACAGATTTGCTTAAATGTGCTTTAGAGGGTTGCCTGTTGTATTTTTTCATACACTTAAATGAACTTGCATTTTACAGAGTTGCTGCCATTAGATCTTCAGAATTACTTCCTGATGTTTTTGTCTTTTTCTCTCAGAGAGAGATTGAAGAAGCTGTGTACAAAAGAAAGCACAGATGCATACATACACTAAGATAAAGGCATTCTTTTAAGCCAAAATGGTCCATTACTTCTATCTGTCCTCTTACTTAACTACACAAAGGGGAAATCTAGTGTCTTCCTTCCTCTTCCCACCTCTACTGCTTCAAACTATTGAACAGGAGCCTTAATACGCAGTTGTTGCTGAGTGCAGCTCAGAGCAGTGTCTCATGGAATCAGCACACTGCAAACTTGGATGGTGACTAATAGTTTTCATATTGTCCTTACCAATTCTGCCTTCAGTCCACTACCCAGGCTGATTCCATGCCTTCTGCAGCCAGCACTGTTTCTTTGGATGTGAGATTGCTGTTACTGATGGCTCAAGCAGAGCTAGATTAATATTGTTATATGTGCAAGGATAAATAAAAAGCAGCATTAGAAATTAGTTCCACTGCTGCCCCTCCCCTCCCCCTCATTTGGGTTTTTTCTCTGTATTGGTCTCTTGCCATAGCTTTAAGCTGTACTTCAGCATTCTGTGTTGTGAATGTTGATCTCATGTGGCACCTAATGTAAAAATGATGGGAACTCAAGTGTCATGGTTAAGATCTCTTTTCCTGCCTTTGCATATTGGCAGTGGAGACTGGGGGAGGCATCTATATGGGTCTATAAATATATTTTACTTTAGCAAATCTCTTGAGATTAAATCAGATTAAACAAGATAAAGTATCCATGTGATGTACCCTTTAAATAATACACCCGCATGGATGTGCACAAAAGACCTCTGTCTGGGAGAGCAGAGTTGTTGGAGAGGTTTATTGAGATGAATGGTATAAATAAAATGTGTATAAGGGGGGTTCTGGGAAAGAAGCATTTGCAGTCGAGATACAATTTAATTAGGAGTCAAGGTGCTTTTTGCCTGCTACCTGAAGAGGCTTGTTATATAAATTGGCATTTGTTGTAATGACTGAAGTGTGTCTGAAAGCCTCTTCTCATTAGCTGACCCATTCTTTCAGCCTTGTTTGTTGCAGTGAAACAAGGCTGGCCTGATGGGGAAGGCAATTCAGCAGGCTGCCAAGAGGCAACTTTTATCACTCTTTTGTGGTAGTCTTTTTCCCAGACTGCGTGTGCTTTTTAGTCCTGATATGTTAATGCTGCTGGTCAAGATGAGAAGCCAACTGTTAACAGATCTCTAGAAAATTTCAGAATTGAGGAGGAGGAAGGAAGAGGTAAGGAGACAGGGGACTTGCCCTTCGAGCCTTGGAGTTACTAACACTTAAAGACTAAGACTGAGAGGGGAGGATTGGGGCGTGGTGGTGGCATTCAAAGGGAAAAGTATGCCTCTTGCCTCCCACTCTGCTTTCTAGATTCCAGGACTTGGGTAGCTCTGGTTTGGTGTGCATGGTGCTGCTGCCTTGCTTGCTCCATGTGCAGTCTATAATTAACATTTCTGGGTTGTCTTCCAATTAGCACAGTTCCACTGATCAGCAGCAGCCTCTCAGGCAAAATAAGAAAGTGGGATTTTTTTGTCCCCTGCCTCTCCTAATTCAACTGCAGAAAATACATTCCAGGAATGAGCATCACAGTGTGTGGTGAGGGGCTACATATACAGCAAGCTGATGGAAAGGGAATAAAAGGAAATGTTTAGGCTGGGCACCAAGGAAAGGTGCCTGGTATCATGATCAGAGGGACTGTATGGGCTGCACTTGAAACTGGTAGGGTGAAGCACTTTGAATGTCGGGTTGTCCTACCCTGGCTTCAGAAGAGGGGAATAAGTGACCTGTTAAGGCTCTTTGTTTTAAGAGACACCATCACATTGAATCATCCCTGAGATGCCACTACAGACAGAAAAAAAACCCCAACAAACTAGTGGAAGATTGTTTTATTGTGTCTGTGATGGAGGAGTGTCATAGTAAAACATGTCTGGTGTTTAGGCCACGAACATCCACACTTTCTCATTTCATGTACGCATGACATGATTTGTTTCCTGATCGTTTTACCTGTTCTGTTTTGTTTTGTTTTGTTTTTTTCAAGTAAAAACATTTTTCCTAGAGTTTTTTTCAATACAGGCTGCCTCACACCCTCTTGCAGCCTGTATGCATCCATATCTTCTGCTGACAGTTTTTGGGGTGCAGGCACTCTAATGTCACCTGGAGCCTGCTTTTCTGAATCCATCCCTCTCATGTGCCTCTGCTTAGAGCTGTTTTGCCATCAGTAACAGGGGGCCAAGATGTGGAGCTCTTCAGCTACCTTGCTGTCGTCTCAGTGCACCCTGTGTCCTCAGAAAAGGCTGTAGAGATTGCTGGCTAATGTAATGATGGAGGTGGCTCCTGTGAGCCACTTCTTTGCTGATTGTGTTGGGAAAATGCAACGCTTGAGCACAGTGGCCCTCCAAACATATGTGTGTGCATACATATATACATGGATGTAGATACATCATCTGTGCTCAATCATTTCTTAATGATTGTGTTAAATCTGTCTTGGCCTAGGCTGTATACAGTCTTTTGAGGAATGAATTTGATTGGAGTGCCATAGGAATAGTTTTGCCAGTGGACTCTGTTGGTCTAAAATTTGCGTTGTTCTTGATCAGCTCTTTAAGGTTGATGTATTAAATCTGTCCAGCTCAGTGCTTCAGAATGCCTTGCTGTTCTTCAGTTGTAATGTGTCAGAGTCACTCTTCTGTGACACTAGAGCCTCTGGTTTTAGGTCAGGTGAGTAGCTTCACACAGCAGATAAGCCTTCAGCTGACTTTAATATGCAGTACTAGAAAACTGACATTATCCTCTTGACAGGTTGTTTGTAACTTGCTGGATGAAGTCAAAATATTTCACTATAGGTGTCATCAGAAATCACCATCCTATGCTAATTTTTGTGGGAACATGAAGACAGATGTTGAATAATTTGACATGAGCAGGACAGTTTTTAAAATTATCATCGTGTTGGGTTCACAGTGGAGTTTCTGAAATATATATATGATTTCAGATGAGTTTTAAAGAGTGGGAGGTAGGTGTAGTAAGTGACTCCCAATAAGTGGAAGATGCAGCAGAAGATGGCCCTGGAGGTTCAATACAGTTATTCAGTAGTGGCAGCAAGGGGTGCTGTGCTGCTGAGGCTGCTGTTCTTATTTTAAAGAAAAGATAAAAATGATTTCCGTGCTGGTAACTCAGGGATCTTGTGACAC